CTCGGCCTCGTCGAGGAAGTGTTGCAAAGTCTGCCGCATCTCGAGCACGTACCTCCGCGCAGGGGCGTGGGAGGGGGGCGGGGGCGGAGGGCGGAGGGCGGCAGACGCACTGGGAGGTGGAAGAACGAAGGGAGGGCACTGAGGTCACTGGTGATGCGGGGTGAGTATGCACCCCCTAGCACCGAACCTGCAAGAGGCGAATAGCCTATGCTAGCCCCCTCATCCCAATCGCATGAGTCGCCCTCGCGACGACGCTGATCACTCTCCCAAGAAACTAGCGGCTAGGGGGGCTCAAGACCATGCAACTTGGAAATCTGCTGGATGGTGAGGATAAAAATCGCCGCAATCTCAGATGTTGGGGGCGGGACAACCGTGGCCGACGCAGACACCTCAACAGCATCACTGTTAGGGACATGCTCCCCACCCCCACCAACCCCAGAAGGCTCACGGTCAAGCGGAAGACCTCGAACAGCACTGGTGGCGCCGGTCGGCCCGAATGGGCTGCCCACATTAGCCTTGCCCGGGCTGTGACCTGGGGAAAGACGGCGCCCAAGCCCAGACCTCTGGATCTTATAGTCAGTCTGCATGCTTCGAGCTTTTGCAGATCCGCAGGAGCCCCCCTCGCGCATGCCGAAGCGAAGAGGCTCCGCAACGAGTACAGACAATCAAAGCATCCAGCCTTTCGCCGTCCTCGGCCTGCACCTCGGCCTGGGCAATGGGCACGGAGCTCCCCAAGCCATCGCTCGGACGTCCATTCCCCGTGCATTGTTCGGTTTCGTGCGTAGGTTGTTCGCGAGATGATCCTGGATGCTCCTCGATGGCCCTCGCTGGAAAAAAATACTCTCCCGAGCGATGGCAAGTCTCACGGAACCCCAGACACCTGGATGAAGTCTCTCGGAGAGAAGGATGCGGAGGCGGAGGGAGAGGAGGAGAGCCCATGGCCCCAACGGCCCTGGACCCCTTGAACCGACGCACCCCTGCCTCAAGGCAAGCCTCTAGGAAAGCCTTCGAATACTCATCCTCATATTCAATGTCAGCCGTGCCTGCTATGCCGTCGGAGCCTGGCTGTTCCAACGACCAGAAGGCGGACTGGGCTCGGCCCTGCCAAAGCTCACAGTCTCGAAGCACTCTCGTACGACCTGAAACATAGAGTGGCCAATGCTCTGGAATGTCCCAGAACCTGGCTCCCTGCTTAGCATACTGATCTGCCACCCCGTTGCCACGACTTAGCCACACTTCGTGATCACTCGTAGCACCTATCTCCGACTGGTGGGTCTTGACAGGAATAAGAAGAGGAGGACCAATGTAAACCCAAGAATCATCAACGATGTTGGAATTCGCCGGCCCAACGGGCCAGAGGCGCTCCGGCAACTGCTTACAGTAATGCTACTTCTCGCGCGCGGGGCGGCCCCTCAGGGTCCCTGGACGAAAAGTACCCCGGGCAGGTCCCGGGCGACTCGGGTCAGAGATGGTTTTCCACCTGGGCGCCGCCCTCGAGGCCGTCCAGAGAGCCCCAAGAAAGGTCAAGAGGCCGCCAAGAGCCCCTCAAGATGATACAAGAGAGCTCCGAGATGCCACAAGATCGCTCCAAGACGCCCAAGATGGCCCCCAGACGGCCCAAGAGGCCTCCAAGAGCACTCTCAAGAGGGCCCCAAGAGGCAAAATTCATTGCTGTCCCTTAGGTTTTGGAAAGAGTTTGGCTTTTTCACCTTTTCGGCTTCCCGACACCCCCAGACGGCCCAAGAGGCCCCCAAGACCGCCCCAAGAGGGCCCAAGGGGCCACAAAGAGGGCCCCAAGACGGCCCAAGAAGGAGCCCAAGAGGGCCCTAAGGACGCCCCAAGAGAGGTCCCAGGGGGGGAACACGAAACAACATTTCAAGCCCTCGGACCTAAGAAGCCCCCAGGAGTCCCCAAGAGGCCCCTAAAAGGCCCCAAGTGGCCCCCAACAGGCCCTAAGGAGGCCCCCAAGAGGCCCCCAAGTGGCCCCAGGAGGCCCCCCAAATGCCCCCCCGAGCACGCAAGCAAGTGCCAACGACCCGACGCGTTTAAGAGTCCCCAAGAGGCCACCAAGAGGCCTCCCGAACGAGTCCCCATAGGCAAAACGCTTCCAGACAGCCCGCGACGCGTTCAAGACTCCCCCAGCGGCCACCAAGAAGCCCCCCGAGAGTGCCCCCATCAGCAAGAATACATAATTCCCTATGGGCCAGCGGAATGAGCAAAGCGATTCAATAAACCCTCCCTCCTAGCTCCCTCTTCATAGGCCCCATGTCCATTGAAGGGAATGCCTCTTTGGAAGACAGACGTTTGAAGACCCTGAAGCATGCCAAAACATTATGCTCGGGATTCGAACGCCACGGATCAGCCTGACTGTTGCGTCTTGACAAGCCTGAGTCGTGCCAGAACACCGTCCCTGGGACATCAACACAGCGAACCAACATAACTCTTGCGCCCGCATAATCCTGAATCCTTTCAAAACACCATGTCTGACACGTTGATGATGGGAATCTGCGAAACCCCTGCAATTCTTTAAAACGAATATGCGCCGCGCTAAGGCGAGGGTCATTTTGAAAAGGAACCGCGCTGAATCCGTGAAGCTCTTGCAAATGTTGCAAAGGAATGTGCGCCGCGCTAAAGCGAGAGCCACATTTTGAAAACGACCCGCCCTCAATCCGTGAAACTCTTGCAAATGTTTGAAACGAATTTGCGTCGCGCTAAAGCGAGAGCCAAATTTTGAAAACAACCAGCCCTCCATCTGTGCAACTGTTGCCAATGTTTAAGCTTCAGAATCACAAATTGTGAGGAAGTCTCAGGCGAAACGCCCGGCCTGCCCTAAAAACTGGCTTCGGGATACGACTGGGAGAAGTCATTGATCAGGAAAAGGAATGGATGAGGAGGAGGAGGAGGAGCAGGAGGAGGGCAGGAGGAGCAGAGAGAGGAGGAGGAGGAGGAGGAGGAGGACGAGCTAAGTGCATTTGCGCCACATCTGACATCCTGCCCCATCCCTCTCATCCCTTCCCATTGCTCGGATACTTCTCTATACGCCAACGGGTGTCATAGCGGACCTGGAACACCCAAGCGGATCTCATCGTGCTACGCGCAATATGAAAAGGGAACCTGTGTACATTGAAGGAGGTGGCGAGGAGGAGAAGGAGAATGAAGGAGGAGGACGCGGAGGAACCGCAGCAGAAGGAGCAGGAGAAGATGATATGTCAGATCTTGCAAGACAGGAGGGCGCAACTGCCCAGGCGTGGCCTAGCGTATGGACAGCGCCTGCACGTTCCGAGGCGTGGCCCGCCAGAGTTTCGAGCAGGATTGGGACCGGAGGAGGGTACAGAGAGGTAGGTCTGGACTCGCCTTTGCTTACCCGTACTCGTGACGATTCTTCACCAAGGAGAAGTGGGAGGAGCAGGTGGGCCAGAGGAATGCGGAGAGCGGAAAGGAAGAGGCGACAACGACGAGGACGCCCTCAGATCCAGAAGTGTGGCCCACGCTGAGGCGAGAGCACCGTTCTGAACGACGGAAACGAAGCTACCCGGAATGAAGGCCAAATACGATGGCGCATGACGTGAACACTTCCGTCGTAGGCACCTGAGAGAGCACAGCGTGCACTTCTCACAACTCTCAAACATTGCGACCCCCTTCGCAGACGACATTTCCTCCTCTGGTGACAACTCCCGCGCTGCCCGACTCCGAGATGGACTCGGTGAGAATTCTGTCCGTCTGTGCCTGCTCCTTTGAAAACTTCGACACGAACACATGTCGCTTACGTGACCTCACGCTATTTGCACAAACATGTGACCAGACACAAACACAAACTCCAAAGGCAGTCCGTACATCCTTCTCATGACGGTGTTCCTCATCTCCCGCCTCCAAGAATGGCATCCAATCGAAAGCCGAAAGCTGGAGAGGAGGGGAAAGGGGAGAATACTCTCTGCAAGAGCAAGACACCCCCTGTGATTTGTCTGATCCCCTGGGCACTTGTCGTCTGGCTTGACCCTGAGGCGGGTCCTGCAGATGCCTCGAGCGCCCAAAAGAGAAGCGCGACGAGGCGAGACGCCAGTGCAGAGCGCGACGAGTCACAAGGCCAACAGATCCGCCGACCCTGTCGGCGTGTGCGAGGCGCTGTTTCGTCTGACTCGTCGTCTTCGTCGTCGTCGTCGTCGTGGTCGTCGTGGTCGTCGTCGTGGTCGTCGTCGTCACCGCCCCTCCCCCTTTCCCGTGGCCCTCCTCCTCAAGCGCATCAGCCAAAGCGAAATTGAGCAAAGTCGTGGTTGAGCCGACGGGAAGCCCCGTCCCTTGGATCCCTTTCCTGGCGAGGGGGGGTGCTGGGGAGGGAGGGGGGGCTGGGGGGGTTGATTGGATGGTGCTGAGGAGGGGTGTTTGGGGGGTCCCGGGTCAGAATACCATCCCCCCGAGGGGTCCCGGCGGAACCAAAAAAAAACCTAAGACCCAAGACGGGCGAAGAATGGTCCAGAAGGCGGCGAAGACGGCCCCAGAGGGCCCCGAATCGCCAAACAATCAGCGCGAGACGCCCAAGATAGCCTCCCGACGGCCCAAGAGGCCTCCAAGACGCCCTAAGAGGCCTCCATGAGCACGCCCAAGAGGGCTCGAGTCCAAGTGGCAAATTCAGGCAAACTTCTTAGATTTCCCTTCGGTGTTTGACAAGTGTTGGTGTCCACGCCTTTCGACCTCCCGACACTCCAAGACGGTCCAAAAGGCCCCACAAATCGCTCCAAGACGGCCCAAGAGGGCCCCAAAGCGACCCAAGAGAGCCCCAAGACGGCCCAAGAGATCTCAAAGGCGGCCTAAGTACTAAGAGGGTCATCAGAAGGCTCCAAGAGGGTGCCCAGACAGGTGGCCCGAACGGACATTTCGAGCCCTCGGCCCCGAGAGGCTCCCAGGAGTCCCCAAGGAGCCCCCAAGAGGCCCCCAAGAGGCCCCAAGAGGCCCCCAAGAGGCCCAAGGGGCCCCCAAGAGGCTCCCGAGAGGCCCCCAAGTGGCTCCCAGGAGGCCCGGAAACTGCCCCCTAGAGGCCCCCG